AGGGTTCTATAAGGGCTACTGTGAGGGTTTAGGGTTTAGTAGGGTTTAGGGCTTATGGAATTAGAATAGGGTTTTGATGTATAATTGTACTATACTATAATTACAGCAAGGAACCTGATTAAGGAACCATGGGTCTCAGGGTTTCAGAAACCTTGGGTCTCAGGGTTTCTGAATCAGGTACCTACATTACAGGGGGAACTTCGATAAAGAGCGATGTGCAACACCCACGTTGGGCAAAAAAACATCCCAGGAGATGGCTGGATGGCCCTGGACATCGGCTGGGACTCCGACCTTCCCCGTGCTTTTATGCACAGAGGTCTGACGTTCAATGGCACCCCAAAAAGCAGAGCAGAAGCTGGCCTCAGGGTTTAAGGTTTCGGGTTTAGGGTTCATTCTTGAAGGTCTCAACTAGATCCATCCGGGCCGCAGGTAGAGAGCATGCGGCCCAAAACCGGGCTTCCGCTGCAGCCTTCGAAGTAGCCTTCGAAGTGCCTGCACACAGGGCCAGAACAAAAATCAACCCTAAACTCTCTCTCTCTCTCTCTCACGGACTCGGTTTAGAGTTTCAATCCTAAACTCTAAACCGAGGAATAGAGTAGAAATTGCTCCGGGAAGCTTGGATCTCGGATCCAAACTTAAGTCAGGAGTCTGGACCCGATGCTACAAGGCCCTCAAGGCCCTCTACGAGATTTTGAGTGCTTTGTTCCTTGCCCAGGCAGGCAAGGAAGACAAATGACCACGACACGAGTGCAGAAGCTTTGCAGATCCAGCCTGCGCAACTTTTAAATTACACAGCCCCAAAAGCCTCCGGTCAGTGGCCAGCTTTTCGTCGTGCCTGCGAAGCATCCTGAGCGCGGCGCCCGGCAAGCGGCGCCACCACGGCCACGCGGTCCTGGTGACTTCCGATTAGCCGCTGCAATCAAAAAAAGCACTGCTTGCTGAGCCATGGGCTTAGTGGGGATCTGCAAGAAACTGTAGGGTTTAGGGGTTTAGGCTCTCACAACTCGGACATGCCACAGGGTTCAGGGGTTTAGGGTTTTGTAGTGTGAAAAAAACCACGAAGAAGCACCGGTCCTCTGGTTCCCAGAGGCTGGGCATCTTCTCCATGAGTGAGGACATGCAAGCAAAGAAGTTCCAGTGGTTGTCAGTGCCTGGGCTCTTGTTAAGGGATGCATTTTAAGTTACTATAATAAGGAAACCATATTATTTACTATAGATCCCTATTATGGCAACTTAAATTAAGAACCCAGGTACCGGCTCCTCCCTGGAATAGTGCATCCGAGCGGAAGCCAAAGCTCAAAGGCTTGGCTCCGAAACGAGAAGTCAGAGCCTCGCGCCGTCGAGCTTTTCGTGCCAGGTGAGCGGAGAGCCACAAGTCGTCGTGCAGCTTGCAGTACTCGGAGAAACCGGTGTACTCAAAAATGCTGCTGTCAAAGAACTTCCGCTGAAAAAGCACGCCATGCACGCCCTCCAAGACGGGACCCTTGAGGTAGCTGTAGGCATGCTGAGTGGCTGCTCCAACTGCGCGACCTGGGAGGGGACTTGTCGCCTTCAGCAAGTTCTCCACCAACTTCCGTCCGTACTCCTGATCGTCATCCACCTCACGGGGAGCTTGCGTCTTCACTCGCTCCCGCGAAGTTTAATAAGGATCAAAGCCAGGGCCAGAAGTGACTAAAACTATGCTCCATATTAATTAACCTGTCGGCCATGCGGCATCATACCTTTGTCTGCATGCACCGTGTGACACTGCACGGTTGGCTGGACTTGCGCGGGCCCTTGCAAGGCAGTTACCTATACTATGACATTCTTATCCCCTCAACCAAATAAACTACCTCATCGCTAATCAGTGTCTAGCCCAGAACACGCGAGAACTACGCTGCCTGCCTGCAGTATGTATGTGTTGGGATCCAGCTCCACCTTGAGCACCTCCTGAGAACCACGGATTTGCAGCGCGCCGTTCTTTCAATTTTGTTCCGGGTGAGGGCCTTTGGGAAGAAACTGCAGGGTGGGCCCTTAAAGCCAAATTCATAAACCCTGAACCTCAACCTGGCCTGGGGGGCCTTCCGGTTGCAACGCCTCCCGACAGCAGCAAGCTGCTCTCGGTTTCGTAGGGTTTAGGGTTCTTCGGCATGTCTCGCGGGGATCACCACAATGAGAAGGTATGACAGAACAAAATGGCACATTCTTCGTATGTTTGATTGATTGCTGCGACTGGTCCATAGAATTGTTGGTGTTTTGGGGCGGTTCTCCTTGCCACGTCATGTTTTCACATTTTTGCTGCTTGGATGACTCCAGAAAGTCGATGCTGTAAACAAACCTTGACCCAATTCAGATGTTAAACGTAGTCTGTATGCATGCATGCATGCATGCATACAAGTATGTATGTGTGTGTATATATATATATGTGTGTGTGTGTGTATGTATGCATGTATGTATGTGTGTATGTATGTATGTCTATATATAGATATAGATATAGATATAGATATAGATATAGATATAGATATAGATATAGATATAGATATAGATATAGATATAGATATAGATATATGGACCTGGCCTGCATGTGTGTGGCCGGCCCAGAGTCTTCGCATCGGCGCAGGTGGAAGTTCTCCGCCGCCGCCTCTTCAGCTCGAGCCGCACCCGGTTACAGCATCTACCCTAACTAAACCCTTTTTTTTGAAGGGTTTAAGGCCCTAATCAAACCCTAAACTCCCAACCCCTAAACCCCTAAACCCTAACTCCCCTAGCCCCCTAAACCCCTATAGACCCCTTTAAAGGAACCCTGAAACCTTCTTTGGAGCCCCTTTTAATGGCCTAAACCCCTTAACCCCATAGGGCTTTTGGGACCCAGCGCTTGAGGGATGTTTGGGGACCCCCCAGGGGGCTTTAGGGTTTCGGGCGGTGCTCAGGGTTTTAAGGTTTTGGGGGCTTAGGTTTCGGGGTTTAGGGGTTTGGGGTTTTGGGGGCTTAGCGTTTCGGGGTTTGGGGGCTTAGGGCTTAGGGGTTTCAGCACTCGCACTCGGACATGCCTTGGCTTAGGGGTTCTGGGGTTTGGGGTTTAGGGGTTTAGGGTTTCGGGGGCTTAGGGTTTAGGGGTTGAGACCAAACCAGCTTTCCTGGCTTGCTTGGCATTGGTCTGGAACTCACAACTTGGGCCCTCGAGTCCAAGCATTTTGGGGCGCGACTAGACCTGCTAAATAATATAGGGCCTTAACAATTAGAATCGGGTTTGGGGCTATACTAGACTATAATTATAATAAGGAGCCCCCCAACACCCTATTCTAATTATTAAAGCCTCCTAACCCTAAACCCTCAACCCTAAACCCTTCACCCAAAACCCTAAACCCCCAAACCCCCTGAACCAACGGCTGCAAAGAGCTGTGGAAATCTTCCGCTAAGGCATGCTAACACCCCCATCCTGCATGCTCGACCCTCAACCGGCTGAGCTTTGACAGAAGGCTACGCCGACAATGAATTCTGCCAGTGTGAATAATGCAGACTGGCCGAGAACCACGATGGCAATGAGACTGCTGCGTAAGAAGAATGATCGCGCGACAAACATGTTGATTGACAGCATGGTGATGCTGGTGCTGCCACCGCTGATGCGTGCAACATTCTTCAACTTCCGATGTTGATGCCAGCACCGACGACCTTGCACTTATCTGCATTGCATTCTTGCAAAAGACTTGCAAACTCCGACTGCTGCGCGAATCACAAACACACACTTTCTTTAGTTCTTGTCCGTGTTCGACTCCTGCAAAAGGCATGCAATGCGCAGGTGCCCTCTTTCATTTGCAATGCCCAACGGCGTGCCGCCATCCCGCGTGGCCTTCTCTTTGTCAGCATTGGCCTCCAGCAAAAGGCGCGCAACCTTCACGTGCCCTCTCCGAGCTGCAATGCACAACGCCGTGCTGCCATCCTGCATGGCCTTGTCTTTGTCTGCATTGGACTCTAGCAACAGGCGTGCAACCTCCACGTGCCCTCTCCGAGCTGCAATGCACAACGGCGTGCTGCCATCCCGCGGGGCCTTCTCTTTGTCAGCTTTGGCCTCCAGCAAAAGGCGTGCAACCTCCACGTGCCCTCTGAGCTGCAATGCACAACGGCGTGCCGCCATCCCGCGTGGCCTTCTCTTTGTCAGCTTTGGCCTCCAGCAAAAGGCGCACAACCTTCACGTGCCCTCTCCGAGCTGCAATGCACAACGCCGTGCCGCCATCCTGCATGGCCTTCTCGTTGTCTGCATTGGACTCCAGCAAAAGGCGTGCAACCTCCAGCTGCCCCATCGCAGCGGCAACGCACAACGCCCTGCTGCCATCCTGCATGGCCTTGTCTTTGTCTGCATTGGCCTCCCGCAAAATTAACAGGCGTGCAACCTCCACGTGCCCTCTCCGAGCTGCCATGCACAACGGCGTGCTGCCATCCCGCCTGGCCTTGTCCATGTCCGCATTGGCCTCCAGCAAAAGGCGTGCAACCTCCAGCTGCCCCATCGCAGCGGCAATGCACAACGCCGTGCTGCCATCCCGCATGGCCTTCTCTTTGTCAGCATTGGCCTCCAGCAAAAGGCGTGCAAGCTCCAAGTGCCCTCTCCGAGCTGCAATGCACAACGGGGTGCTGCCATCTTGCATGGCCTTGTCCATGTCTGCATTGGCCTCCAGCAAAAGGCGTGCAACCTCCACGTGCCCTCTCCGAGCTGCAATGCACAACGGGGTGCTGCCATCCTGCATGGCCTTGTCCATGTCTGAATGGGCCTCCAGCAAAAGGCGTGCAAGCTCCAGCTGCCCTCTCCGAGCTGCAATGAGAAATGGGGTAGCGCCATCCTGCATTGCCTTGTCCTTGTCCGCATTGGCC